TGAGATTTCAGAAGGCTTGGGAGTCCATACAATGTGCAAAGATGAGGTTTATCTAGGAGTACCTCTCCTAAAAGGAAATTATAAATTTGCAGACGGGCATCATTTGGTAGAACGTGTTAAGATAAAGTTAGTTAAATGGAAGTTTCCTTTGCTTTCGCAAGTTGGACGCATTGTTCTCATCAAATTACTTTGGAGGTGATTCCCTCTTTCCAAATGCAAACTCATTTATTACCAAAGGAGACATGCTCACAACTAGACAAATTATGCCAGAACTTTTGGTGGGGTGATATGGAGGGGAAAAACAGGTTSGAGGTGCTTGCATGGTTTGGATTCATTATGGGCTAAAATATTGAATGCAAAATACCTTCAAGAAAAAACGTATGGAACTATACACCTCCTGTAAGATCATCTTCTTTTTGGGGAAGTTTGCTCAATTTGAAATCATTATTGGCAAAAGGAGCTATGTGGTTAATTGGTGATGGGTGGAATGTTGATTTTTTCTTAGATCGATGGAGTGGTGTGGGCTCTTCTCTACAATAGTTTTTTTGTAGATGACCCTCTTTGTCACAAGTTGCTCATTTTATTGATGCCAACTCACACAATTGGAATCTGGAAAAGTTTTTCTCCCTCCAAATTTGGCAAATCAAATACAAAATGTTTCCCTTACTTTTCCCAATTCACAGGTGACATACAAACCGGTATGTTGTAAGACTCCTCATGGCCACTTTACATGTTCATCTGGCCTCCATTTGTTGTCCTCTTCCACTCCTATCTCCTCCACTTCCCAATACATAAAGGTTGATATGCATTGGACTCATTTGTGGAAACACAAAACTATGCCACCTGCTCTTAAAATGTTTTTATGGAAAAGTGCTTTGAATATTATATTCTTCCATCTGTTAACAACTTGGGGAAACATAATTGCTCTTTTGAGGGTGCTTGTCCTGTATGTTCTACCACCAAAGAGACTCTGTTACATTGTTTGTTCTTCTGCTGCACCAGTCGTTTGGTTTGGCTCACACATGCACTTTAAGACTGCTTCTTTGAATTTTTCGAAGGTTACAAATTTCATTTATTTCTGGTGGAGTGAAGACATGAAGAGTGGTTCTATTGAGCATGGCCTATTATTAAGTGGTGCAGTTATTATGCGATGCATTTGGCAGGCAAGAAATGAAAAAATTCTTAGATATGCTAGTTTTGATCCTACTACAATTATTTGTAAAGCCTAGGCAATCATCAGTAGGYGTGTGAAAATTACTCGAGTAGAACATTCCCCACAAGAACAAGACCTCTACCCTTCTCAGAGATCGTTTTGATTCGTGCATCCTGGACAGAACAATCCCATTGCACTGTGATAATGCCCAAATGGCTGAGAGCCTTATTGGAAGGTCTCACTGGCATCTACCTTATCATTGTCAAATGTGGTTTTTGAGGGTGATGCTGAAAATATTTATAATCTCTTGTTAGTTGATCGGTTTAATCCACGATGGTAGTTTATACATGTATTAGCGGCTTGTAGAAGTTCATTTCAAACCCTTTCAAATTGCTTGGTGAATTGTGTTCATTGCTTAGCCAATAAGGTTGCCCATGTTGTAGCACAACAAGTAGGAGTGGATTCGAGCCAAGCCGACTCGAATAGCTATTCGAGCTCGACTCGCCAAGGGAGTACGAGGCTCGAGCTTGAGCTCAAGCTCAGTTCGAGCTAGAACCTTGAGCTCGAGTTCGGCTCGAGTCAAAAGCTTGTAAGCTCAAGCTCAACTTGAGAAAAACGTTTTMTAAAAAAAATTATATATAAAAAATATTTTTTATTTGATATTTAAAAAAATTAAGAATTATAATAATTAATTATTATTATATATAAAAATAAAAATATTATACATATTATTTTCTATAATAATAATA